CGGCGCAATAACCCAGAAGACAGAGAAATCTTCAGACTCACCGCTGTGAAAACCTCAATTCACATGATTTTATTTTTTTTAATTCTGGTAAACTGACTTCCACATTTCAAAACAACTTTAATTTCTACGTCAGCTGATCATATTTTTAAACAAGGCCTAAAACATTACCCGAAAAAGTAGCTTCCCAAATCTTCAGCCGCCCTAAGAAACTTGAGATTAATAAAATGCTACGAAACCATACTGAACATAAACTATAAGTCAACATAAAATCATACCACGCACTATAAACTGTGCCACACAGAAAAATCACATGTCCTGAGCTCAGACGAAACAATCGATATGACAAAACCGCAAATTACAACACAACAAGACACCGGCCTACAGCAAACTAAAAGCCACTAAACTGTATGCTAGTTATATGAGGGGAATATCGCCTGCAGACAATACTAGTAACCACCACCACAACCACCACCCGCCCCCACCCCCCGCAAGACAATTGACGCCAACCGAAATAACAGCTACACAGCTGAGTACAAACGGAGCAACGCGGCACAATGTCATCCGCCCTGCATTGTCAACAGCTCAGCCAACACAAATTCAGATCTGACTTTCACCAGCCAACGAGTCCACATTTGTAGGCGGTTTGTGCATTTCCCTGCCAGTGAACGAGCGGGCTACAAACGTCCTGATTACAAAGGTAGTAAGCACTCTAAAACGTCGGTCGATTTCGATAAGACTACACGGCGCAAAACCCAAGAGGACACTCATCTTTGTATTCACCGCAGTGGGAACATCAAACCCCACGCCCTACAGAGCGTTTATTGATAAAGTTGAACGCATCACTCACTTCCCGGCTACTAGCTAGAACTGCATGACTCACCACCAAGTACCACAAGGTTTTCCCGATACGAGTCAAGTATCGATCGATATGGACAACAAAATTAACTTAATCACTTACAGCAGTTCTTGCCGGCAGCCATGTTCAACTTCATCAGTGAACGCACGATAAATTAGCATAAATATCTTCTTCAACCGAGAAATTTAATAAATTAACGCAATACGAATGTGAAATTGAAAATAATGCCACAAATGTTGTACATACAGTGGATTCCGGCTAATTGGGACACATCGTGATTAGAACACTTTGGCCCAATTAAGCGTCTGCCCCAATTATTCGAAGTACCACGTAAAGATTTAATATTTGCTCCAAATAAACGGCTGCCCCTATTAACTGATGACCCAATTAACCGGAATATACTATAATCCAAGTTGCTGATAACGTCGATAAATAAATCATACATACGTGGCCTGTACACTAGCAGGGAACCGAACCTGGTACTCGGTAGAAACAAGTCGCGTTCGTTAACATGTGAGCTGACTCCTTGGCAGTACTGAATTATTCTGAATCCCTTGTTGGAGCAGCGCGCTGGGTGCGTTGTCAGACTGTTGCTGAACTAACACACACACCTTTAAATTCTCACCTCTTTCGCTGGACTCGGCAAATCTACTGCGCATCGGCTTACAGTGGACACGTAAAAAAAATTGAACTGTACCCAGTAACAACGGCTAATGGCTAGGTGGGGGCTGGGCGGGGGAAAGACGTAATCGAACACATCACGATGTCATTTGAAGCTTCAGGCCTATATAATGCTGGCACTATTTGCAACAGTAAGGACTGGTGGGCAATTATTTGTAATCGGAGGTCAAATTGAGACTATTTGTGGGGAGACCCCAGGTCGGAGCATTCCCGGAGAAAAATTCAGCACGTAAGAACCGATATATTAAGATTTAAAAATTGTTCGGAGCGATTTAATACAATTTATGAGAAAATCAAAAAAACGTGAAACAAAATGTGATCAAGTGTTTCTTAAATTCTGTCCGGAGTTCTCATGAATTAAACCTAATTTCAAGTGGGCCCCATTCGACTATTGTACCCACATACATGTATCATAGTAAATTATATCAGCAAGCATGCTTAAGTTAGAATCTAAAATTCCTATTTTCCTGTAAAAATTTGATCTCTCTTTCATTTGTTTAATGGCCAGTCCTAGGCCTGTAAAAATACAGACGCCTACTATGTTTCAATTGTTTAAAAATAATATTTTAACTAGTTAGTAATATATATTAGTTTCGAGCACTTAAAGGGATTCATCAGAAGATGACTAATTAAGGTCGAAACATGTAGTCAATCTTAATAAATACTGAGACTATAATCAAAGATTTTGATGAAGACAGACTGTCAACGCAAGGATTATTTTAACACTGGGGTGGGAAGAGAAAATTTCGAAAACTGGGGTTAAAATTAGTAATTCGAAATGACGTGGTTATAACTGACGCACTAAAGCTACAGATGGCCGGCACTTTGCATCCAGTTGCATCACAGTCACGTGATAACGGGAAATGGGGAAATATGTGGACCAACTCGCTCTATTTATATCATGTTACATTCTTAAAAGCCAATTACCAGAGCAGGTCCAACAATAATGCGCAGTTTTAATTATTTTGCGTTCTTTAAACAATTTACATGAAAGTCTTTTTCAGCAAAGGAACAGTACGATACAACCAAAGGGCTGTCTACCTCCTAGAATAACTTATTAACCTGTCCATTTAAATCAAAGTTTCTAAGATGCCACCTACCAGCGGTGCTTCGAACTTTTAAACTCACGCATGCGCGCCAATTTGATGTTGAATTGTAAGGAAATCACTACAATATGAAAACTTTAGCCTAGTTCATGGCGTTCACTACTGGTTCAAGATGAGTACCGGAAAAGAAACCTATTTCTTTGGCTTTATCGTTGAAACTTCTGCCCTGTTATGCAAAACTAATTCAATGTCAGTCATTCCTTTCCGCCAATGTAATACACTCAGTCGACTCTTATAATAAGAGACGAGACATGCATGTTGTAGATCTGTTAGCAAATGCCGTTGTATAAATAAACTTCATCTGTCTAGGTTACAGGATTTCACGAGTCCGGACCTAAGCCTGAAAGCCCAGATTATTTAGGGTCCCGCCCGGTTTCAAATGATAGCAATTAAATTTCTTATCGAAAAGCAACATTTATTCCTAACTGCACTCATCTTACGCTTATTTTAAGAACAAACAGTATTAGAATTCCCAAAATAGCCCAGAGTAAATATTTTTGAATCAAACAGAAAAAAAAAATACTAATAAAATAATATCAGTGAGTAATCCTGGGTCTCGGGTAAGGCCGTGGTCTAGGCAACACGGAGTTTTCCTCCGGGGGCTTCCCCGGTTTCTCCGTGGCATCCCAACAATTACTCCATTCACACACAGAAGAAGGCAATGGCAAACCACTTCTGGATAATCTGCCAAGAACGTATATGAACAGGTCCCAGTCCGAAAAAAGGATGGAAGGATCCTGTTCATACGGACCTGTCGTCAGACAGAACACTAAATAAAAAAACAGTGGTCTAGGCAACACGGAGTTTTCCTCCGGGGGCTCCTAACAATTACTCCATTCACACACAGAAGAAGGCAATGGCAAACCACTTCTGGATCATCTGCCAAGAACGTATATGAACAGGTCCCAGTCCGAGAAAAGGATGGAAGGATCCTGTTCATATGGACCTGTCGTCAGACAGAACACTTAAAAAAACAAAACAACAACAAACAGGGACAACTTCTATCAATGTAGGCGGCAAATGTCTACGTCTTATTTGGCCAATTACTCGATAGGATAATCGGCAAGTCCTGCGACGAACATGAGTTCGTAGCACAAAAATCAGCAAACTACATCGATATGAGTTCTAGAGAAGCTGGTAGTAGCTCTCCTTGTCGGAAAATTCCCCAATTGTGACCCAATCATGCTTTAGAAACAAATCCAACAGACTTAATTTTCTCGGGATCTTTTACAACGTCGTTAAATAATTCATTTAAAGCTTATTGGCATTCTTTCATTAAATCAAACGTGTTAATGAATTGATAGTCAGCGCACAGTGTAAACAGATCGTGCTTCATCAGGGCTAGAATAAGAACAAATCGGGCTTAGGTGGTGAGCGGGTAACATATTTCAAGATAAACTTCGGGGTTGGGTTCGGTACATTTCCAAAAATTCGGCCCATAAAACCTCTACTGTTCAACCGGTCGCCATTGACCTCACAAACTCAGTACAGACACATAACTTCCACGTTCTTTCACATCGTATCACACATTACCCGTTATATGCGTGTATGTTTGTCCGTTCAAGTAGAGTTATTTACACATTAAAGCCACTTGACGTCAATTTAAGTAATTTGCTATTAATGACGTACAGGATGACTTGCTAACCCTTTATAATCATAGAGACACGACGTTTCGTACCTACTTGCAAACCGCTACGTTATAAATGAAACAAACATATTAAAAACCTACACCAATTCATGGAAAATGCTACTATTTTTTTTTTGTAGTGTTCTGTCTGACGACAGGTCCATATGAACAGGATCCTTCCATCCTTTTCAAAAGTCTTAGTTCTTGATCTGACTTTCTTCAATAAGTTAAACACATGCTCACACCGACACATAGCCCAAATCCCAACATTAACAAATTACGTTTCCTAATAACTTAATAACTATTTTACATAACAATAAAATACAATATTACAGAACAATTACGCGGGCACCAAAAGACACGAACATACGTCACATACACAAACCACAGCGGGTGATGTTAGAATTTAATACAGCTACGCCGATATTTTAATTTAACATGTCATCTGTTAAATATTGTTATTACAGATTTTAAAATTACCTTTCGTATGTATTTTAAGAAAAATCCATCGCGTCAACACGTAGACCACCACAAAAATATTATTACAGGATATTATTTAAATATATATACAATACTAATAACTGGTGAAATTATGCACATCTTAACTTTTCAACTTTAAACCATCAAACATCTCAGACTCACTACAATTAGCGTTTCATTACACATCTTAACTTTTCAACTTTTAACCATCAAACTTCCCCAGACTCACTACAATTAGCGTTTCATTATCCCCTTTTTCGTTTCGTTAAATGTTTTGGATGACCTGAAATGGATTTACATGTACACAAATATCCAAAAATCACATTCCGGATATGAACGCGCCACTGTCGGCACCTGTCAGTCAAATCAAAAAGCTCATACCTGGAAAGCGGAAGTACGTGCCGCGACCGTGGCACCCCTGCTGTAGAATTCGTTGAACTTCCCCCGCCTCGCTGCCAGACTCCGACTCGGATTGCTGCTGCCATCTCTGAACAGAAATGGGGAATCCGCTCGCCGGAGATTTCGAATCTCGACCTTTTCTCGCCAAGACACCGTACGCGTCTCCGTTCACATCACGCGGTATGGGCGGCAACGGACGATTTGGTGCTTGAGGAGCATTGGCGTAAGCGCTGTATTCATCGGAGGGCAGAAACACATCTGAATCACTGCTTTCTGGTTTACGCTGTCTCGTAGGTGGCTCTGGAGCAGGTCCGTTGCGTGTTGGCCAATACAGGGGTTCGTCAGTGTAACTTCTGGTAAAGCTAACTCGTTTAGGTATCATTGGGCTGTCCATGCCGTCACATGTCGACGTGCTAATCAGACTCCCACGTTTGAATATAGGAGGGTAGTAATTTTCATGTGACGCTGGTTGTTCTGACGAAGATCTCTTATTCCTTTTGCCACTACCAGATTTCTTTGGGTCGTTTCCGTCAACAGATGAGGGGCTCCTGACCATTACTATGTCCACAGTGTCCTCTGACTTGCTGTTCTTATTTCCGCCCTCTCCATCGGCATGTTTGTAACGTTCCCCGTAGCGTATCTGTACATTATCGCCTCCGCGCTGTCGTGGTTCTTCGTATATGGTTGGTGTTGACTGTTGACGGTTCTGAGGCAAATTACTCGATGTCCTTATGGGACCTATTGTGTTTCTCTGAGGTACGCCCCTCGCAAAGTTGTTCCTGTCGTCGCTTACTTTGCGAGACGGATTTTCAGGAACCGTGGAAGCCGGCATAGACCTTGGAAGGCTCATACTTCTTGATGACAAATGCTTGTCGCTGTTCGGCCCCGGAGAGGCACTTCTAGCTCTGGGTACTTTGGGGTTGCCGTCATGTGATGTTCGAGCTATATGCATTGGCTGCTGAAGCTGGACGTTGTTGTAAATAGGCTGAGGTCTGACAATTACGGACCCATAACCACTTCCAACGTTAACTGCTGACTGCGTCCTAAAAGGCTGTCTTGGTGCTGCGTCTGGATGAAACAACATTGGACTGCTCTGCTCAGATCGGTGGACATTGCGGTGGGCAGAAGTCATTTGCTGTGGTAGTGATGCTGCTGAATGGTACCGTTTCTCCATCCGTTGACCTTCGGGTGAGATGTGTTGTGACAGGGATGATAGCCCTTCCCTCAACTTCTGTGTCTCCCAGTATAATGCTTCTATTTCCTGGCGCGAAAGCTTCTTGTATTGTGCCTGCGGACTCCTCTGCAGAGCCTCTCCCAACTGCCGGTACTGCTGTTGTATGTAACTCCTTGCTGTCTGTGTTTCTTTGCTGTTGGCTTCCCCTTCTTGCATCGGATGGGACTTAGATGAAGTGGTCTGGACTTGACCGCCGACTGGACGTATCAGTCTCACGATAACCGGTTGTAAAGGTGATTGTGGGGACCTTTGATCAGATTCGCGCGCAATCGGTGGCTGTGATAAGGATCTCCTGGAAGATGGCCCATATTCATAATTTTGGCGAGTCCTAGGCGGCTCTGGCGATATGACTCTCCGTCTGGGATAATTTTCGATGTAGTATGACGGAATCGGTGGAGCTGAAACTCTGCCAGATGGTACAGACGTCGGGCTCCTTTGTTGGACCAACGACGGATTGTGATGAATTTGTAAGAAACCTTGAGTGCTTCTCGGTGATCCGGGAATAGAGTGGTAATGCATGTCCGGCGAGTCGAAACTTCGAGAGACGAGGCCGCCACGGACATCTCTGTGGACGTCCCTCCGAGTGTCGCCATACAGTCCAGAATCATTAGCATGCTGCTGTCTCTGCTGCTGCAGTTTACGGATGTCCGGTGACCCGCTAATGGCCTGATTTTCCAAGTTAACTAGAAGTGGGTTCCACGACAACGAAGAAATCGAGGGCGATTCGGCCACTATGGTGGAACTGGAAGAAGTAGAACTGCTACCACTCACTTTCCTTCCAAAATCATCTGTCGTGTCTCTATTCTGAGCATCTTTGTACAGCGGACGTCTTCGGCTTGGCGGCGAATGGTAATACGCATCGACTGGCCCGCCGCTGTAACCTCTGTTCTGGAGTACTTTTTCTTGCTGAGTGGTCTTGCTTGAATACGAAGGCAACGAGTTCTGCTTTTGGTGTACCCTGTTCGGACGGTCGGTGGGACTGGCGGAAGACGGTCTTTTAGCATCTCTAGCTGGAGGAGAGGTAAGTTCCCTCCGGATATGCTGGAGACGTTCCTCCAGTATCATGGACGTGTCTGGGACCGTCCTTTTGGTTCTTGGACTTGTCGCAGTGGTTCGGCGGTCTCTGGCCGGACTCAGACTCTTTGATCTCGCCTGATAACTGATCCTGGATGCATTCTGCTCGTTCTCTTGAATAATCGCTTGGTCTCGGTCTTGCTGATGGCGGCGTGTTCTTGGGGATGCTTGCTTGTGTCTCGAAGCCGGCGAAGAACTCTGTGATCGCTGTTGCTGGCGAACTTCAGACCTTACCGGCAACTTTGACTCCGAATCAGACAGAAAAGCTGTCTCTAACACCGGGCGCGCTGGGTAAACGCGAGAGTGCTCGGGTCGCTTCAGAAGTGATTCCAAGACAGCGTCGTCATCTGACCTGTTAACGTGCTGATGTTTTTGCACGAACAGACCCTGAGGTAGGAGACGCCTAATCCCTGAGGGTTTCGGTTCCTTCCTCCGGCCGTCAACTATGTTCCCCGTGGACGCCGTTATGGCGGCTGAGGTGACGCTTTCGTCGTCACTACTAGTGCAAATGCACTCTTCCCGCGCAATCGCTGCTCTGATCTCTTCCAACTTCTTCTGCTTCAAAAGCAAGTCTTCTCCGTTCAACTCTGACTCTTGCTCGGAGTTCTCGTCGGTCGTCGAGGTCGCCAACTGAGAAATCACACTGGCATAAGCGTCGTTACTTTTTTCATCAATAGTAATACCAGAAGGGTTCTCCTTTGGGTCTTTCACTCTGCAGTCATCGTAAGAGTCACAGGCGTCTGTTGACGGGTGTAACAGGTCTGATTCGCGTTGTATTTTACTTCCCTCATAAACAGCAGGCCTCTCTTGCTTCACCACTTTAGGAGGGTTCTTCTGAGGGAATCTCACTAACCGTCTGGGCTTCTGACTTATCTGTGGCTTATTTTTCTTCCTCGTTTCCTCTTCCGTGAGCTTCTGAATCAACTTTGTAGTCCAAGAAATCCTAACTGGCTTGGGTGACTTCGGAGGTTCTGGTCTGCTACTAATCTGTTGTTTTGACGTGTCTAAAATACTACTACGGCAAGAATCACTCACGTCACCGGGATTCGTACATGAGGATGGATTCCTACCTTTGTCTTCCAATTCACAATGTCCATCAATATTGTCACCGGACAGCACTTCTCTGGTTTCAACAGCCCTTTCAATGCAGCTTTTGGAAGTGCCTTCAACAGACTCTTGGTTCTGTGTCTGCTTACTTTCCAACTGTATCGAGACGTCATCTACTGGGACTGCGGCATGATTTACTTCTGTTCGTGTTTTTCCTTCATGATTACTTTGTGAATCAGTATTTTTACGAGGAAGTTTATTCACAGAAGAGGCGAAGAGTGCACTAAAAAACAATCTCCTCTTCTTCAATGACGACCCTGAAACGTCAACCTTTACGTCTGCTTTAGAAATGTGTGACTGTCGATTACTGCTATCGATATTTTGTTTGCCGTTCGTCAGATGAGGAACTGTCGTGCTATGACTTCTGCGGCCAAGGGCGGGTAAGTATTCATGTTTGAATGCCTCTACGGTTGCAGAACTGGGTTTAGTGGCTAGATTCTGCTGCAGTTCTTCGATGTATGAATGGCTTTTCACCAATCTATCCTGCGCTTTCTCCGGTCCGATTTGGGATGAACGAAGAGACACCGGGGAAGTGTTCGATGTTTGCCCTCCGCTGTCTATATTTTGAACATCGATTTTTACGTCATTCGAATCACCTGGGAGACTTACAACTGAAACATTTGACGCGTTTGTCTGTCCATTTACGGATGCATCATCACTGTTACCTGACTTCACACTGTCACTTCTGTGATAACGAAACGAATCACCATTTTTTAAGCAATCATTTTTTGCAGAACTTCTTTCAAATGTTTCGCGTATATTTCGCACAGATGAAGAACTGTTGGAACTGATCTGATGCTGGTAACTGAAGTATCCAATTCGTTCTTTTCGACAGCTGTTCGTACCGACAGACTTCCTTGTGGACGGTTCTTGCTTCTCATTTGCTAGCTGGACGGTCTTCTTCATGGAGAGGGTGTGTTGACTCTTCTATAGAACCAGACAGCTCTGCTACCTGAAATAAGACAAACGTCAATTTCTTCAGAGGTGTAAGTCAGCTTCTACTGCGCTAAAAGAATACAGCGTCTATGTCGATGGGGAAAAGTGGGGTTAGACGAGGAAGCTTTTGTGATGACGATTAATATATTAACATGTTCTTTCAGAATAATCAATAAACCTACAGTATATTTATTAAACAGTTTACGTGAGCGAAACTACAGTCAACAAAGTTAATTTATTCACGAGAAAACATTATTGTTTGTGGTCAAAATTAATTAAAATATATAAAATTAATTTAAATTCCATATCAGGACCCCCTGGAGTGGTAGTACAGTAAACCATTTTCAGCCGCGAGTTTGTCCACAGTAGATTTGATTAATCACATGACAATAAACGTAAAAAATAAGATGTCAAACGAGAAAAATGTAATTATACTCAGTTTGTCAACCACTATATTTCAGAGAGCTTTGCACGGTTTTAATTTTGGGTATATATTTGTGTAACCAACTTGGTTTTACTCTGCGTATGTAAGAAAGTAAATATTCAGCTTAACTTCCTCCCTCGTCTATCACCCACTTCATCTCAGTAACTGCTTGTAACCCGCGGTCTAAGTCTGTCTTAAGATGTCACCGTGTTAACCTAGGTCGTATTGTTTCCATGACATTGCCCTTGGACAGCACTATGGAGTAAAAATACAAATGTAAAACTGATAACGAGGCAAAGAAAAGTTGTGAGGTTATGACACTAGATTACAAAATAAATATTCTAGAAATCTGCGCAGTGGTATGTGCGCAGCAGCAGTTGGCCTAACATTCCACTGATATTTTTCATAAAAGTCTAACATTCGCATTGAAACTGTACTTTAATTCTTAACTTTTCTAACATACTTTATGATGTCACACAATTTGTTCATGTACAAACACCACGAAAGCTTTTCTATTCTTCTTTATTTACGTTCAACTTGCCACAGCTCGCCTGTCTGTTCGAGTTCCACTAACGCTGAATCTGTGAGAACCACTAGCGACACCGATCGCCTTGCGCCTCAAACACCGAGATAGTACAACCGGGCGTTAAACTGCACGTTGTTAGCATAACCTCTAAATCCGGCATGTTATCAGCACAACGGGTGTAACAGTTACTCCTCTTTTAATAAATACATCAAACTAATAACTAAACTTCCTTAAAACTGAGTAAGAAAAACATTCCATTAAAGTCACGTCACAGTTAAAGGCCTATGTTTAAATTCCTTACGGTCAGTGCGAGTCCCGTGCCGTAGCCGCGCGGTCTGAGGCATCATGCTTCGGACCGGCGATACGGAATGCGCGCTGGTTCGAGTCTCGGGGGAGAAGAAATTTTCTCACGAGCTTTCGACCAGTGTATGTGACCGGTGCCAACCCAGCATCGTGAGGAAATTGGGGAGCTACAATGCGTGTAATCCGGTCATGAAAGCTAGCAATGGCTGGGGGTTCGTCGTGCTGATCACACGTCACCCTATATCTGGTTGGATGATAGTTCACCTCTGCTTAGGCATGTGAACGTGAGGCCAGCAGTCAAGTTAGTCGGCTTAGGCTCTCAGAGGGCTGTTACACTACGGATTATTATTATATTACGGTCAGTGTGAACACCTGAGATGGTAAGATTACCAATTATATCCACATTATTTATTAATTTCAATCTAAAATACAAACAGGAACATTATCGTGAGTTAATTAATTGTTAATGGAAGGTATGAATACAGCAAAATATCCAAACCCCTAGCGTTAAATTTTAAAATTGTTTTGTAAATGTACTGAAATCCTTTCCGACCCAGAGTGGAACCTATTTATGACTAGATTCCGTATACTCAACGACATCTGTAGTGGCTGAGACGAACTCATCCCTTACGTGTTGCTTGTCTACACGTGATCATATTAGTAACGCAACACAGGTGGAATTGCTCGGACAGTCCACACACGTGATCACCAGTTAAGTAAGACGAGACACCGACACTGAATAATCAAAAATTCACGCAACCCAATCCTGTCACATATTCTATTCGAAAAAAAAACTTTACACTGAGTGCTGGAAATGTCCACCGCGTTCAATGATACATGCATCCAATCTTTTCCTCGAGTTGATGAAACACAATAAAGAATCCCAACATAACAGAGCAGTTCACCAGACGAGATATGGTCAATTTGTTTGGCACAGAAGAATCCGGAAATGTGTCTTCAAATTCATTCTGGCCAGTCAAGTATAATTAAGATGCCTGGTACAGATTGACAATGAACACTCGTTCCATTTGTGAAACAGACATCTTTTGTTATCTCTGCTATCTTAGTGCCTTGGTAGCCACGGTTACATTGACCACATGCTTGTACTGTTTACCGCATTTATCTTCGATAACATTATTGCCTTGCTAACGTTAGCAGCCATGGTAACCTTTGTCGAAATGATTACCAAACACTGCCTAGACTTACCCACCCTCGCCTTTCATGATCTAGTGCAGTGGTATTCAACCTGGGGTACGCGTGCCCCCGGGGGTACGCGAAGACATCTTAGGGGGTACGTGAACTTTAAAAATATATTTATTATTTTATGATAAACACTGAATAATCAGCAATGTAATTTGTTTAATTTATTTTATATGTAGATTATATACTAAGTATAACTTGAATTATACACCAACGACTTTGGGGGTATAAAGTTGAAGAGAAATTATATCTGGGGGTACTCGAACGAAAAAGGTTGAATACCACTGATCTAGAGAAACCTAACCTGAAATAATGTTACCTTGGTTACCCTGTTCACCACTCTCATGGTTTTCTTCACAGAGGTTGCCATGTTTAACTTGGTTGGCGTGGTTACTATGGTTGAGTTGATTCAGACGGGCGGACACAGACGTGGCCAGTCCTATATGCATTAATATTACGCACGTCATGTAAATAGCGCATAATAATGTGAAGTGGGCGTTGTCAAAACAATCATTACTAAATTGTGGGCGGACTTCTTCAGGAGAGCGATTAGTTCCACCAACACAACTCCCGAATGGGAGCTACGGATCAACCACACGTTCGAAAATACAAGCACAAAGGAAATAAATTATAAAAATCAGTACCGCTACAAAAGCCACAATTACGTGTCGATTTTTTATTTCGGCTTCAGAACTATCAAAAGCCAAATATAATCTTCCGCGAAAAATCTGTTGTTATCTGTTTCCACAAAAAACTTTTCTGTATTGTTTCATGCAGTGACAACTTCTTCCCTGGAAAGAACAAAAATTTTCGTAACGTCTAATTTTCACGGTTTCAAGGCTTGGTGTTGGGTTTACGTTCGGTCTGCACGATAACGCATCCTAACGGTGCACCACACCCGATGTATAACCTCACATATCAGTCACAGCAAAGAAAAGTAAACAGAAACTGACAGCTGTTTGTCACAACCGATGTGGTCTCAATACCTTAGCCCTCTGAAGCAGAAGATCGTCAAATGCGTATACAATAATTCAGTTCTTACCGCAAAGAAAACACCACACTTAACCATTACAAAGATCAACTGGTTAACGCTGTTCAAGGAAATAAACCCTGTTCACAGTGAGAATCATACGAAACACATAAATACAAAATGGAGTGGTAATAAATTAACACTGGGCCATAAAGAGTTGGTTTCGCATCACAGCAGTTATTTCCAAATCATCGTCAGCCTACATTCCTTTTTAGACGCAATATTATTTGTAAGAATGGCCGCTGAAGTCACAAAAGCAATTACATATATGGTTCAATTGAGTCATAAAAGCTTGGGGGCTTCGACAGATAACTCGTCACCAAAGTCCATGATATCATGTACCGATTTATTGATTCAAAGACGCGATAAAACTCCGCGCTAAGCGATATGCTTTCTAAAACCAAACTATCTCCCCAGCATTCTGTATAAAAGCTTAAATATCTCGCCTGCAGAGAAATAACGGAGCGCCTCTGCCTGTCAGAGTCGGTACCAACGCTCGCCAAGTCCGTATTTAAACGATTCTAAAAGCTAATTAGGCCGACCATTATTAACGGCCCATTAATGATCTTATCTTTCTATCAAACTACGTTCTTCACATAATCCAATGGAACACGCAACTTTAATTCGTTTAAGTAATTGACCAATCCCGCGAAGACGATGTTACACGGGCAAAACCATGATCGTGAACGGCACACGTGTGTATCGCTGTAACAGAACGCATGACCTTGAGTGCGCAGAAGTAGAGAGGTCGTTGTATCACGTGATTTAAGGGTGGGGATTTCGACAGACCATCTCCTTGTCAGCTATTGGCAATCCTGAGAGACAAACTAAAAAAAATTACCTAAAGGCGGGTACAAATTAGGGAACTGATGCATGTAACGTAACGGTTTCAAGTCGTTCAGTCGAGCCAACAGCGTAAGTTAAGTGAACGTTCTGTTAAGAGTTCCAAGATTTTTTACAAAGAGTGACATAATTTTATTCAAATAGTTAAAATCATGAGGTAAAATTCATTTTTCATATTTTGTAGAATCAGTATAATTTTATAGACTTATGACGACACCCAAACGCCAAGCTGTTGGTCCATATTCACCTTCCACCTACACTTACCACCTCTTTGCTATTTCTAATGCTGCAGCTGTTTGCGCGAAACTGGAGACAATTTCCCAAAATTGCCGCGATGTAGGGGAAGTGAGGGGAATCACGCCACGTTATGGGAAAATACAATTTTCTTGATTCATGAACATTGTTTGAAAAAAAAACTAAATACTGAATCTTCGAGAGCAATTCGTCATGAAGACAACACACTGAGAATTTTGTATTAATTTCTGCTCTACGTGTTTTTTTTTTTACAAAATTTTACAAATGCACATTTGGAGGAATTCCTCCGATATAGAGGTAATTTACCATGTGCCTTGGGTAATATCATCCTACACGAATGAAACTAAAGACGATGCTTTCAGCTGACAGACATTTATTTATTCGCGGTATTTCGCTCTAGATGCCACGGTGGTCTAGCGGTTAGAACGCTGGCCT